GGCATACATAAACTGGACTATATTTTATCTTAAAATAGTGAACTTTTTCATCGATTACTTACTTGCTTGCTTACTTACTTACGCCTGTTACTCCCAATGGAGCATAGGCTGCCGACCAGCATTCTCCAACCCACTCTGTCCTGGACCTTCTTTTCCATTCTTATCCAATTTATGTTCATTTTTCTCATGTCTATCTCGATTTCTCGGCGTATGTGTTCTTTGGTCTTCCTCTTTTCCTTTGGCCTTGAGGATTCCATGTGAGGGCTTACCTTGTGACGCAGTTGGGCGCTTTCATTAATGTGTGTCCTATCCACTCCCAGAGTTTCTTCTTCCGCTGGGATCTGGTTTGTTCTCTTCCACAGTAGGTTGTTGCTGATAGTGTCTGGCCAATGGATCCGAAGTATTTTGCGTAGACAGCTGTGAATAAACACCTGTATCTTCTGGATTATGGCTTTGGTAGTTCTCCAGGTTTCCGCCCCATACAGTAGTAGTGTCTTAACATTTGTATTGAAAATTCTGACCTTGGTGTTGGTTGACAGTTGCTTTGATTTCCAGATGTCCTTCAGTTGTAAATTTGATGCTCTTGCTTTGCCGATCCGCGCTTTCACACCTGCATCAGATCCACCATGTTCATCAATGATGCTGCCCAGATATGTAAAGGTTTTTACATCTCCTAAATCTTCTCCGTCAAGTGTGATTCGATTGTTGCATTCTGTGCTGTACCGGAGAATCTCGCTTTTCCCTTTGTGTATGTTGAGACCTATTGCTGCTGAAGCTGCTGCCACACTGATGGTCTTCTGCATTTGTTGTTGCGTGTGCGATAGGAGGGCCAGATCATCTGCAAAGTCTAGATCGTCCAGCTAAATCCTAACGGGTTTTTCATCGGTTACAACTTAAATATCTGTCATTTATAGACTTGAAAAGTCTTTTAAGAAATGGTGGAAAATCAATCGTAAGATGTCGATTTACAATCAGTGTAATGAAGTTAATCATTTAAATAAAATGCGTAACAAGAGAAATGTTATATGTCGGGTTTATTGAGATGATAATAATAAGAATAAGTCATGTAAATGTTTTATGTAGTAAGGGAAATGTTGTCACGGGAATTATGATAAGAAATTCATATAAATTAAGGGTGAATTTTAAAATTTAGAATGGGGCAGAGCAGAGTTATATATAAAGGGAAATTGTGGGGTAAGAGTTTATAACTTGTAGCTTATGTCTGTGATGACTCGACTATGGGTTACGGTAAACAGAGAAGCTGAATATATTTCCCTTCAATACGTAATTCTGGGTTTTTTGAGCTGAGCTTGATGGCTTCAGCTATTTAAGGGAGCCACAGTTTCGCTTCTCAAGTAGACTGTTTGAGATTTGATACAAAACTATGAGGGTTTCATCTATTTTAATGTGGTGTTCATGTACCAATTGAGGAGGGAGAGGTATTGTTAGAAGTTTCATGAATCCTTTTTCTGACCATTCCGGCAAGTTTCCACGGACACACAACTAATTTTTGTGTCTTAGTTTTTTCACGAACAAGACATTTTTGTCGTGAGTGGATTCCATGTATTTTACCGGTGTAATTTAGTCAAGCTAGGATTTGAATAAATAAACTAAGTTTCCTTCTCGGCCATATCTATTCGGTAGTTTTGATAATTATTACTAACATATTTCAAAGTACTCACTAGGTTGATATTGAAATATAAAAAGTGTCATTTGAGTTCATAAGTAGGAATCATCTAAATAAATTCTCAATCGTTAGAACCATAATAGGACTATGATAAAGCTATCAAATAATTGCGTTATTTTACCTTATACTACTAACTTTTGTTTCAGTAGCGTAGTTGTAGTTTTAGATTTTATACCTTACAGAACGTAAAATGTTTTGTGACTGCTTTGTCGTCTCTTAAAGAATCCAAGCAGAAAAATATAGTACATGAGGTTTTTTCAATAGTTCCTCCTAATTTTCACTATCTTTCTGTTAAAATCAGCCAGCAGCTTGGTCTATCGGATCGTTATATCAGGTCCTACATTGAACTGAGACGATTATTAGCTACTAATCTTTGTCTGGCGTTCGCATCCTGTTTCACTAAAGAAATTATGATTTACTATGCTACTGATACCTTCAGTTGCAGATGAATTATGACATGTACTAAAATTATCTATTAGCAGTAGGTAGATGTATAAAGACTTCATGAATAGTATCGAAAGCGCGGCCTGCTTGATCATCTGGGCTACCTGTTCCTGCCATCTAGATATTTCAACAAGTTATCTATTTTTGTTTGTTTTAATATATCACTATGTTTATTAATCGCATAACCTATTCTGCTGCGTTTCTGAAAAGTGTACAACCTTTCGTTGTCAAAGTTGCAAAAAACTCAATAAAAGACAATGTGGTTGCTGGCAATATACAACGGAAAGAATGCACATTATTCAGATGTTCATTTAGTGAACTGCTAACATCTAACTGGCGATCACTCAATATTTATCGCCAGGACCGACCAAGAAGAAAGAAACGGAAACTTGTTGAAATGCTTTACGCTGAGAATTCTATATTGTACCAAAAATATAATATTGAATAAAGCTGATAATAATAATTTTAATTTTTAATAATAATATCATAATTCTGTATATCTTATTTTTGGTATATATTGAATACCACATTAGTAATCAGATAAATGAACTTCGGAATTAAAATTATTAGTACTATCATAATTTTGGCATTAAATTAGGTTAGTTATTTTAATTGTATACTATGAACTACTGTTTTCCTATCATTTAAATAATATCACACAATATGGTTTTTTGTTTATTTCTCGTCCGTTATCGTAACATAAACTATTGACATCATATTGATTGACGTCATTTGCCCTTTCTGTAACTTCATTCTAGCTACACAGTGAAGACCTTTCATTAATATGTGCTCTAGGCATTTTAACTACATCTGTTGTGTTAGGATTGGCAATAATACTTATTTTTCCCAGTTAAAATGTTTACGATCCTCTGAATGTAGACTGAATAATAAATCCGTCATTTCATTCATAAGTCTCCGAAAACTACTTACCGAGGTGGTTGTTTGATTTATTTGTAACCACACATATGTCTAGTCTCTTTTGACCAGTTCCGCCTTTGTCATTGAAGCTGAACAAATTTTTGCCTTGTTTTTACGGTATAGAATATAGATTAGATAGATGTGTATAGCAATGTAGATCAGCGTATCTCAATAATACTAGTCTTAGTAGAACAATACTTGACTCCTAACCATTTATCTAGTGAAATGTTTTCTAATACATCAGTTGCTTCAGGATTGGGTTACATCGACACCCGAACTAGTGATAGGGAGTGAAGTAGTTGAGCCTGTCGACCGCTTCACTTATCTTGGAAGTCTCATCAGCCCTTGTGGTCTGGTGTGTGTGACGAAATCTCAGCACGGATACAGAAGGCTCGACTAGCTTTCGCCAACTTGCGTCATTTATGGCGTAGGCGAGATATCCGTCTATCAACCAAAGGACGGGTTTACTGCGCAGCAGTTCGTTCCGTCCTACTTTATGGCAGTGAAACATGGCCGGTAAGAGTAGAGGATATTCGTAGGTTACTACTATTTGATCATAGGTGTCTTCGAAACATTGCTCGTATATCTTTGGACCATCAAGTAAGTAACTCAGTTGTTAGGAAACGGGTACTAGGTAAGGATGGCAAATCAATTGATGTAGTAGTGAAACTTCATCAGTTGAGATGGCTTGGACACGTGTTACGTATGCCCAACGACCGACTGCCTCGACGTGCTATGTTCAGTGGTATAGGAGTAGATTGGAAGAAAGCTAGGGGCGGCCAAACCAAAACATGGCACAAATCCATGAAGTCACTGACAAGTGGACTGAGTCATGTTGGTAGGTATAAACTACCTGGTTGGGATCCGCGAGACGATAGCAACCGATGGTTAGGGACCTTGAATGACATAGCTCAAAATCGTTTGCAATGGCGCAGGTGCATCCACTCTTTGTGTTCTCCCAAATTCTAATCTTCTGAATTTGTCATGTCCCTTTTCTCCTATTTCCAAATTTATTTCACTGTATTATACTCCTTGAATAACATCTTCAAACCCTAATCTTTCCGATTAGTGCTTATACTCTTACTACCTCTACCACTACGGGATTTGAATCGGCAACTGCATCTCTGTGCTAATGTGGTGTGGCAACTCGAACTGATGTACATACGTACGAAGTTCTACGTTGTTACTGACTGACTGACTGAATACATCAGTTTTGTGATTTGAAGAATAATGTCTATCTGTTAGCATTTTTACATTTTCAGTTCTTCATCGCTCTATTGTTCATGTACCTAAACTCTTTCAAATGAGTATAATTAAATCACTTTTCGTATTATATATAAATTGGTAAAATCTTCTTAAGGTAATGAACTTTGTCTGTTTCTTCATTTGAAAGCGTATTGGTAATGTTTCGTGTACCTATTTCATTTTGATCGAAAAAAATAAACTTAACATTTTAGTATCTTTTAACTGTGGTTATCAGTGAAATTTAAGATGAGCGTTTTATCCTATTCGAAACTCATCGTCTGAGTTCACATGTATGCTATTATTAATGTTCATACCAAGACTCGAAATTAGTACCCGTCACTTTAAATATCAATGCATTATACACAAGCTATTGGGTCTATGTAACAGCTACCTTGATTAGCGCTTGTGTAGTTGTATTTAATGGTTTAAATCCTCTCACTGTTTACATTAAGCACTGTTACTAATCAGTCCCCATAGGTAAATCTGAATCCTGTGTTCGGATTGACACGATAATATTGCCGTTAATATATATATATATATATATATAATATATATATATATATATATATATATATATATATATATATATATATATATATATATATATATATATATATATATATATATATATATAATCAAACCATTAAATTTTATTTTTATATATTAATGTTTTTACTATTTAGTCTAAAAACATTTTACATTTTAGGAAGATATTGTGAATGTAAATGCAATTTTTCATCAACTTTCTGAATTAGTATATGAACAACGCAGTGCTATTGATTCAATTGAAGACAACATCGAAGTAGCATTAGCTAATGAACAGTCTGGTCATTCAGAGCTAGCAAAAGCTGCTAATAGACGAGTAAGTTGTAAAGACAAATAATAGTCAGATTTTTTAAAAATCTTGATTTTATAGTTTAGAACCTCGTCAAATATCGAAAACTGGTTTATTAGTTCTTAAAGGTGTACTATAAATATGCGGTTTAGTCATATATATAGTGTCAAATTCACTATGGAGAATACCACCAATCAATAGGTATGATTCGTTCTCAAGTACTCAATTTCGTGTATGGTTACTGAATAGTTTTGTTATATTACGGAATGCATAATCATAACGAGTTCAGTAATATTCAGACTAATTAAGGTCACGCACAAGAAATACAGAAAACTAGTGTTTATTCAAATTGAAATCAGGAAATACCGACAACAAGTACTTTCAATATGTTAACACTGTGGTACTGTAAATATAGATACATCTAGACTAATGATTTGACAACCTGCAGTTATGGTATTTCCGTTAAGAAATTCAATGAATTTAAGACAATCTAAGACAATTCAACAAAGTTGGCAAACTATAGGAACAAGCAATAGCGAAAAGTTAAAATGATACAACTCGAGTAAGGACTTTTTTGTTATAAGATACACACCAGTAAATGACTGTGACTAGTCTTATGACTGTATAGGTCATTCGTATAGAGTAAAATAGCGAGTTTTAAGACAAGTTCAGACGATAGGAATTACGGGGTTTAGAGTATTGTTAATAGTCCTTAGAAATATAACGACATGCTGCTGGCGTAGGGAGGGTAGGTGAACAACATATAGATGGGTATAAGAATCCTTAAGCGGTCTGGATTGTCGTACATCATGACTAAAAGTTTGTTATTTGGTAGATTTATACCTGCCTGTGTTTGTTTATATTCCTCTCATATGTACAAACAGTATCAAAATAACATACACATTTTATAACAAAAGGGTAATCTGGTCGTACGCGACACGATGATAAATCAAATATCAATTTGTTTTGTTGTGCGGTGTCCGATCTGTTGTTGACAAACAAGCGTGCTATTTAAGTATCCAACCAACTAGTTGAGCGAGAAGGGAGCCTTTTATTGGCAAACTGATATATATATATAAATCTGCTCCTTAGAAATGCACGACATTTTTCCACCAATGGAGTGTCTTATTTCTTAGAAAATGAAGTCGAATCTTGACCAATCGCATGAAATTACCAGTTGGCCAATATCTGGTTTATCTTCCGTATTACAACTAGTTGACTGATCTCGATGATCTAGTTGTATAGTCAACTCCTTGAAGTAACACTTTCGTAATCGCTTTGGGACCTGTAAGATCACTTGTAAATTCTGGCTTGATTAGATCTAATCATTCAGTGACATACTGTAGGATTCAGTCATAAGTTCAGTCACTTTCCTAATCTTCATATGTTTGTGAGGGCTAAAGCAACGTTTGTGATATATGAACCCTAATTCTTCAGTGCTGGTGATTTATGAATACATGTTCAAAATCACTGAGAACGCTCTGCATCAGTTTGTCACGAAAATAACAAATATTCTTTTGCATTACACGACAATCTTTTTATCAGAATAGTCGCAACTGGTGACTATCTATAATTAGAGTCAGGTAACGTTCATTTAGATCTACCTTTTGTGGTATCTTTTATAAAAGGTAATCGATTAACTTCACTTTTTTGATCTTTTAATTGTAGTGAAATATCAATCTTAAAATTATGGATAAGTTTACGTAATTTTTCGGAACTTAGAAAGAGTAAATTGATGTTTAGTTAAAATGGAATTAAAAGTAAACCAGCAATAAGTATATTCTAAGTGTTATAAATGGATAAACTGTTTTTTCTTTGTAGTACTTACTGCATTTGTTTTGTTTTCTCCATAACTTAGCAAAAATAAAACTGATTAATTTTTTGTAAAATAATCATCAACATGATAAACAACCATTTCCTTTAAATATAATTGTTTATCTATCTTTTGTTTACTTATAGCAAAGATCTCGAAGATGTTGTTGCATATTCGTAGCTGTTTTAATTGTGGCTATTTTAATTGTGATAATTATCTTGGTGATTGAATATCCTCCAAAGCGAACTCAGTAATAAAATACACCGTATGGTTATACATATATATCTATCAGTATCACGTATATTTTTTCTGTATTATATAACTTACTAGGACACTCGTTCTTTGTTAAGTCTTATTTATAATCGTGTCATCCGGTTCTATTTATTTAGTTTATTTTATATACATAGATTTCTATATTATTGACTATAATTCCTTTCCAACATCATATAATTGAGTACTTTTTAAATAGCAAATGGATAAATAATATTCGAAAAACAGTTTTTTCTTGTAAAAATCATATTTTTGTTTCATTTTTATTTTATAAATTAACGGATAAAGATGTTTTATTCTTTTACACATTCACAGTATATCTTCTATTTTTATTGTATGTTTGTATTTATTTAGTACTCGTTTTCTTTTCCCTCTCTCTCTCTCTTCATCCCTCTTGTTTTATTTCAACATATCTCCATCTGATTTTTTTTATAAAGAAAAAAACTGTTTTTAACAAAAAAAAATTCGAGAAAACTGAAAACAATTAACAGAACTAACTGGAATAATAATTTATTATTAATATTTAATAAAATAAAAAGAGAATAAATGGAATATCATTTTAAATGATAAAATAAATATACATATGTATAATTTCATTTTAGTGTTGTTTTTCTTTCTTTTTTTCTTTTTTTTGTTTCTCATTCTGTCAAAAATATCTTGTACCGAATTCTAATTTATAAATACAACAACAATGAAGACAACAGTAATAGTAATTATTACTAATAATAATGGTAATAATAATAAGAATAATTTGTAAACAATAATAGTTATTTTCATGATTATTGTCATCATCATTACCATCAATAAAATCATTATGGTTATTTTTTTTATCAAAAAAACGTCGACTTTTCTGTTGTCTTACTGTTTCGATTGGGTGTGTAGATGTTGGTGCCTATATGCTTTCTTGCTAATTACTAATATATATATATATATATATATATATATATATATATATATATATATATATATATATATATATATATATATATATATATATATATATATATATATATACGGATTCCCATGGAAGAAAAAAAATATATTTCCATACAATTATGCATATTGATGATGATATCTGTTTGTCTTGAACATCATGTTTGGTAAGTGTTGGATGTGTGTACATCGTTATGTTTGAATTTCTTTGTGATTTATGTAGTTTTTATCATAAACTATATAGATTAGTTTTTCTTATTTGAGGCAAATGAGAGAAAATTTGGAATAACTACATTTACAGAGTGTTTTTGTATTTGTATATTTCTTATTTATTTGTTTGTTCTGATTAAGGGAAGACAAATAGAGAAATTAGCTCAAAAAAACGACTAGACCGAAGCATTCAATTTTAGCTGATTTCTTCTGTTTCACACACACATACATACTTTCGTTCTCACCTGAATGTTATCCCTTTTTATCGTAAATTCTATAAAATTATTGAGGTCATTCAATGTTCCTTAAAATATTATTTCAATTATTATTCCCACTGTTTGTTTTTCGCCTGATATATTTACAAATTTTTCCCAGAGATAATATTTATGTTTGTTTTTCGGTTTTTTAATGTTTACACAAAAAAAAACGTTTGTTAGAATTAGTGATCGAGGTATATGAAAGTGGATTGGGGGGGGGAAGTGATGAATTTGGCTCATGTACATACACTCAGTGCCATTATTTCCTACGTAAAATAATTAAATATAATATTGATCAGCGTTTCAAACGGAAATGTTGATACTGGTCGGTAGTGTCTAAAAAAAATAAACCTATTGTATCTTTTCATTTTTGTAATTCCTCCTTCATTGTTTAGTTTCTTCTCTATGTACTTATTTACACTATTTGACCGGATCAAACAAAACTAACAGTACAATAAGAATTATTATTACTCCCACTAGTAGTAATTGAGTTTGGATTGTTTGTAATATCATCTGTTGTGTGTTTCGACTGACTGGATTTCAATTTAATACATTGATTTGTATTCGATGTTGATGTATTTATTGATGGTAGTGTTGTTGGTGTAGTATTTTGCTTCAGTCTACTTATTTGTTATTTATCAGTACTATTCGTTCATGTTGTGGCCGGTGTTGTTCTTTTTCTCCATGCTGTATCAATGTATTAACTGGTGGTGAAGACGATTCATATTTCATGCAGTTTTTCGATTTATGATATTCATTTGTATGATTAGTAGTATTATTATTTCGGTGTTCATCAGAATTATTATATTCATTGAATGATAAGATTTCTGCTTTTTGTGGAATCAAATTAGTCAAACTAAAAGCTCTTTCTTGGCGTGTAAATGATTCTTTCTTGTGAATATGACCAAAGGAATGACAATCATCAGCGATTAGACTATTATTATTGATATTGCTTTCAATATCATTACTGTTGCCCTCTTCTTCTTCATCCTCGACAACATCATCTTCGTCACCTTTAAAACCTATGCATAAGTTTGGTTGTGATGCTTGTATTAAATGTAAGCGCTCCAACATATGCCTTTGATTATTCATATCGAGTAATGGTGTATACTGTCCATTTTTATACTGATGATTATATTGAGTCATTGATCTTTTCATTGAGTCATTATTACTGTTGTTGATAATGTAATTATTATTGTTATTAGTATTTCTAAAATCTCCAGTTATGATTCTATTAAATGATGATATATTTTGTAAATTAGGGTGTTGTCTCGTTTGTAACGTTTGGTAACTATTACCTATTTACAAGTGAAAAAAATGGATTAAAAAATTCAACTATTTTAACAAAAATATCCAGTTGAAAAGAAAAAACTCATCGTTGTTATTGTCAATCGTTTTATTAGGAGTCTAATTGGGCCTTTTGTGTAATTGTTAATAGCGTAATGTAAAAGTATTCAGCTAGTAGCTATTATTTTGTATGTTGAAGTCCATACTTCATCTTTTTTTAATTATAAACGTGAATATTATCACTGTATCCATAGTCGAGTATACGATTGTGTACCTTTTTCTTTTTGCTGAGTTACATTAAAAAGTTATATCAGATTGAATAAAGAGTACTATGACATTTCAAAACATTCATTTTTTCAATAATTGACAAAAATGATATGGTGATTCGAAAAACATCTGCCATGATCTGATTGATGCACTTGATTATGAATTTCCTCTGTTTTTTTTAATGGATAACTGCTGTAACATCAACAGGTAAAAAAATAGTTCAAGCCTGTGATCGATTCTTTAGTGTTATACTAAAAGTTTTTGGATCACGAACGATAACATTGCACATTGTTATACAACCGGGTATATATATATATATATATATATATATATATATATGACGGATTGGATAGTGTGATGATTTTTTTTGTCTATGGAGGTAAGTCATCTTAACTAGTTCGGCTAGTAACTATGATAAAAATTGATCACTCATATCCTTAAAAGTAAAATTAGTTTTAAACACAAGCTATTTCACTAACATTTAGTACTAATTTTTAAGATTATCATTTCCTATTAAGGTTCTTCATTTAATATCGTGTTTTTTTCATGAATTATGTTTTAGATTATCCCTGTTTCACTATCGTTAAAATCTGAAAGAGTTTTTTGTATCTAGTGTTAACTTAATCCATTTACGTTTCCTCTTTCTTACCGGTTAAATTGTAATGTTGGTTGCTATGTTAAGCCCATATAGCTTATTTTAGTTCCCGGACAGGTCAATTAATTCATTCTTGAATAACATTTTGACCTTGTTAGATATTTGCTTATCAACTTTGACTGTTTTTATGTGTGTGTGTGTGTACGTTTCTTACTCATCACATGTCTGTAACTTATTTTTTTCTGACTAAATATTGATTAACGCTTAATTAGAGTTGACTCACTCGCCTTCTCCATTGCGCGTCATTTTGTTTTGTCTCGCTTTCCGACCAACGATTGTACGAAATACACGTGTTTAAAATCCATTTTTGTATTCGACTTATTTAATTCCGTTCTTCATGAATGTGATTTAAGTCGATAATTGGCGACATGTATATTTCAATAACAATCAAAAACTATCAGCCTAGAGTCAGATACAGGACCATTAAAAAATGTGTATTAACTTGTAAAGGTTACTTATTTTTCAAAGAAGCGATATCCACGGAGTCTTGAGACTTTGAATTCGCTATTCTATTCATTAAGATAATACAATTAAATCATCTGTAACATAGAGTTCTTTATAAGTGTATTAAACATCCATGTTATTATGTATGAATCATTATGACCTAACGTTGTTACGAGTGATTAACATATCATTTTCAGCACATATCGCTCGCTTTAATATGATATGATAATTATTTTATCTTAAGTATTTCTGTTCGGTTTAGTTAGTCTTTTTCATCATCGGATCCCAACTGAAGTTAAAAGAAAGTCATTTTCTCATCTCTATTTATTTAGTCTTCATGTATACTCACTTTCAACCTTGCTCTGATGTTGAATATAATGCATTTTAATCTTGTTGGTTGTTCCAATCGTAATTCCTGCTGCTTTTAATCTATTACAAACGTGTGATCAAAACAAACTCGATACTGTCTTACTATTGTCAGTTAGTGGTTTAATTACGTGAAGGAAGTTTTCTATCCCAAGCTATGACTTACACTATCAATTTATGTTTCGTCACTAATGTTTCGTCGAAACGTCTGCTTAAAATTAAGAAGTTTCACTTAAAGATTGAGACAACGCTTTGAGTCACCCAAATTGCCCTCTAATTCAGTAAACAGCTTAGCAGTAGTTAAAGAGGTGAATTATTAAATTCTAAATCATTAATGCAAAGGTATATTGCTTTTCATAGGACTTGGAGGTCCTATGTTTGGTTCTTTTCGTGGTCATGGGTGTGTACTGTTGACGAGTTACAAATAAATGAATCAAGTTATCCATACATATTTTTCCTTTTATATTCTCGTTTTAAATGAATGTACTATCGTTTTATATTCATGTATACAAACTGTTATTCACGTAAGACTAGATGAACAACATTGGCCACCAATCAGTGTAAATATTTCATTCCTATAAGAAGTCAGCTTTTGTCTGAATAACAACGGCAGCATCTCTGGTTGTAAAATTGATCGGAATTCCACAGAGAAAACCAGTTTTCCCTAGATTGCATATATCCCTCTCCAACTAGCACACAATACAGGTTCAGTACATCCTACTAATTGAATCCAGCCATTAAAACAAAGTTGACAAACACATCGAAAATGTTAATCATCAGTTTCAAATTCGTTTGAACACTACGATCATATATACTTGGAGATAATAAGGTTTTTTCTCTTCAGTAAAATTTGTAATCTTTCGAAAAAATTGAAATGTACTTCAGTCATGAATAAGCTAAGAAGACATTTATCTTCATATAAATGAATTACCTTGTAATATGATATTTTTTCTTCGTGGATGTGGATCAACATATCCGTAAAGTTCACTGTTCTGTCCTTTATAAATTGATTGCAATTGTTCTACATTGCATACATTGTTAATATTAGTTGTAGTTTTATTATTTCGATTATTTATGGGCATAGAATCATGATGAATTAACGCTACTTCTCCAGCGTTTAATGCCACAGCTGGTGTTGATGATATTATTGCTGTTGAAGTTGACGAAGACATTGGTAGAGTACGAAAAAAGTTATTCCCAACTAATGATTGATGATGCGTATCAAATAACATGGTACTTATTGGTGAACAGTTAAATTCTTCAACAGGATGTGGTGTTACAGTTTTTGTTGAGAATGTTGAATGAGAATTATTCACTATTTCATGTAATGATTGTCCAACCTGTGAACCACTTCTGTTATAGATATCCTGCATTGTTGTGTCATTTGATCGAATAGTCATACCAACCATCTATATTAAACACATATCGATATTTAAACATAAATTATAGAATAATTCAACTATATATGTATATCATACTAATTTTTAACAGTTCTGCATCATCGATTAAAGTTTTTGGGAGTGTTCATCATCTGTGAAGTCAGCGAGAAAGAGAGCGAATATGGTTATCCTTAATTATCGTTAGGTTTTAAAATGACACTATATACACAGAGCTGACTTCAGATTGTAAGTATGATCCATTGTTTTTCGACCCAATGATTAGTATTTTATCTTTGATCAAACAAACCTGAAAGTATTAAAATCTACTGACACTTACTGGAAACGGATATTTGTTTTGGTGATCATTTGTACCATTTATATGTTTAAATAAATAAATAAGTTGAAGGACACAGTGCAAGTGCAAAACGTTCGATTTTTTAAATCTTTTTAATCTTATCACCCCATTTTTTCAAGTTTTGTCCAATTGTAATTTTCACTGAAGTTTAATGAATAAAAAACCATTTTTTTCATATCATTAGATTGTTCCATTTAGAAAAATAGTCTTGCGAATCCCATTGGAATTAAGGAATATTTGTTTATATATATATATATATATATATATATATATATATAGTGATATTTATTACCAGGAGGACTATAGTTCCCAGTGGTATCAGTATTGAGACATCTGCGAAAGGAGTCCATTTAAAGTTGTAGATTGACAAATATGATCCTCAATACGAACAACTGTAATATTTATACATTTATCAAAAATACTAAATTTCATAAGCATTGAACAAACTGGTAGCTACCGTAACTCAGTAGACAAATAGATGACACACTGGTGCTTAGTGCGAAGGGTGCTAGGTTTGAGTCTCAGTGTAAATATCAACCCTGAACCCAGGTGACAACTCATACGTATGATAAATTATGAACATTCTAAATTCAAGTACCAGTTACTCTTCAAAATACACTGATTAACATCTCAAGAATATAATTACTGATGTGAACGCTGTGAAATATTCACTATATATAGCCCTAATAACGGTTACTATTTCAGACTTCACTTACTGTTTGATATTTGTCTCCATCCATATTCCCTTTTGATTCAGCTGAAATAAATAAAATGACAATTAGTAAAAAAAGTAGTTTTCAGTATTGTTGTTAAGTATTCTTGCCTCAACTTATTTATTTATAGTAAAATTAATCCCTGTTTTTGTACATGATTTTCATTGTCACTTTAAAAATGTAAGATATGAAATATTCCCCAAACGTACTGAGATAATCTCACTGAAGACTTATATCTATTCAATGATATGAAAATCAAATCACTTTACGGTAGACCCTGTTAAAAATCAAATGGTTTCGATGGAAAATCATCAAAATCTCTAGTAGAAAAAACTTTCAATTCATTGGTTAAGTGCTTGAACTGTTGATTTTTAATTTAGCCCACTTTAAATCGTCCATTAAAATGGATACTATCAACTAGAATCTATGATATTTCTTAAATCAAATTTTAAACAAGAAATAAATAGAACACAATTATTAATTTGTTGCTGTTGTTGTAATTTTTACCTCAAAATGAAACGTAAGTGGATAAACCATCTTAACTAGTAATATCGTTTCAAATGAAAAAAATAATAACTCAATCCTTACATTAAAAATGATGTCCATTAATTTATGAATTAGAAAGGAATGAAATGTTCAGTCAATCATTTTTTTTCTAATGATTAAATATTATTTAACCATTGATATGACTACTATGTCACTCCAAGTTCAATGATGAATGGTATCGTTAATTTCTATTCCACTGAAGAATACTTATCTATACAATAAGTATGTGAACGTACACCTGTTGTTTTGAACGAAATATATTTTTCTTCCTGTTCTAGTAGTTTTGTTTAAGATTTTAAACTATGATCCTTATATTTTAATTCATATATATATGTATATTGGTTATTTGGATCTTCCCATTAATGTTTAAGACTGAAATTGATCTGTCTTTACCGTTATATATGCATCCTATATGGATTTGTTCTATATTGATAAGTCACATGTACTTTAAAGAAAGCCACATGGTGGCTAGCAGTGGAATCCAGGACACTCGTTTCATCCTATTTGAGACTCATCTCTGATTCCACTGCTAGCCACCATTCATCCCTATTTCATGTAATTCGCATAGTTTGAAAAAATATCAAGAGACTGAAATGGTTTTAATCAGAAAGTGATATTATGGTTCTACATTCGTTCGGAAAATAATAAGTACCATAGTCTTCAGACCATGTAATGACTGCAATAATAAATTAATGAGCTATGATTTTCTGATTTAAATTTCTGTTATCTCTTGGTAAATTTTTTCCATGATTAAACTGTCTTTCAGAGTTGTAGGTGAATGTTCATCTTTACTTAGCAAAAGAGAATCTAGGAACATCTCTATAATACTGAGTTATCAATAATGAAGGATTATTATTTAGTTTCCAAAGTGCTAACATTTGTATAAACGACAATCCTTTAGGTATAATAACTGTAAGTAGTCTACCTAACCGTCCAAGAAAAGACCACTGCAGTTAAACACCTAAGATGAAACAACTATTCAGGTCACTACAGCTATTAGATTTACTTAGTTTAAACCGTATTGTTATGAAGATCATTTTCATCTTTACCAAATTCGATGTAATGTCAAATTAAAGATGGATAAATCTTAAGTTTGAATGCAGTATTTGAATAATTTATCTGGGAATTTATTTCTCATCTGGATATCCTTTCATGGGGCTAAGTGAAACATTCAGTGGAAAACTTGTCTTCAGTTTCTAAAAGTAGGACAACATTAACTTTATACACAATAAATGAGAAATCTGGAAGATAAGCTACTTCCGATTATTTAAAAGTAACACTAGTTATAATTTGAAAATTATTGAATATTTGAGTGGTATATCAACAGTGTCTGATTATGAGTTATCTCGACTTTGTAACCAAGTAAATGATTGCTTATAAAAGTAATTCGATTGGCTCGTTCAATCATAGGAGTGATTAGTTTCCTAATACAAACGATTCATCAATAGCCTTGACATAGTTGCTAATTCCATCTAAACAATAAAACTTAAGAAGTTCGTTAGCATTCTGGATAATTTGCTAGTGAGTAATAACTTTGATATCACATTTTTAACGAGTTTCATTTATGAGGTATTAAAGTTCGCAAAATTTTGCCTATAAGTAGAGTGACGTTTGCTTGTAAGTGTATTGATTAACTCTAGAGATTTAATTCAGCTAAAAATAACCTTAGTATAGTGCATGAAATTTAAACTGGTCAAATGATGGTGATAAGTTTTTAAGTATAAGTACACAGAATAATGGATCGAGGAGTCAGCTATACGCAGAGTAGAACCTGTGACAAATATGCATCAGTTCAACTTACTAACCACATTTGTACACAAAGATGAATTTACAAGGAGGGATGGCGGAACAGTAGAAATAGTGACAAAATAAGAGATTGAATAAAGATAATATAGTTTGAAAAATCAGAATGAATTTGTAGAATAGAAAGTATGAAATAATTTTAAAAATTAATATCTAAAGAAAAACAAAAAGTGAATTCATCTGCTCCATTGCATCAGCTTATTAGCCAATATCATCCAAAGTTTCTAAATATTGATTCTACGTGAAAAAAGTCAGGCGATACCGGGCAACAGTGTAAATTTCAGAAAACAATCGATAATTAGTTTGCTTACAACTTACAGTTGACAATGATCATTTCATATCCCTTAGTGTAATATCTTGTCAAACGAAACTATCGGAATGAAATCATTGAAATTGTTCTAAGTACTTCAAGTATTAAAGAATTGACCTCAATCACTTGTAAGAACGTTATTTATTTATTCTAGTTTTTTTTTAATATTTGAAATAACTGATTATTTAATTCATTATTTGTTTTCAATATAATCAATCAAGTTTGAAAGTTTGAAATGATAATAAAAAAATACAATCATTTCACATTTCCGTGAAAATCAATAAACTAAATTAATAATCATTCGTTTGTGCCAATCAGATTTAGATCAATAAAATATTGATTTTTTTTCTTCATATAACCCTGTTATCAAGTAAGTTAATGACTAGTCAGTATGCGATAGATAAACTTTGTCAGGGACATACATATCAATCACTTTCATGGTTAGTTACAATACTAATTTTTCTGATTAGCTTGTATATAATTTAATTTGGGGGTTGAAAAAAGTTTTGTAATGGGGTGGGGATTTTTCAAAAAACCTTTTACAAAAATTGCCGGGCGGATAATGAAAACCTAATTTAACTGCATCTATTATTCAAGTCAGTATCTGTGGTGTTAATAAATTAAACTATGTAACTCAGTAATTAAATGTCATGAACTAATTATATAGATCTTTAAATTACGATTTGAAAATTCTATTTACCATTGTATTAAATGATTATATTTAATGACAATGGTAATATTACCGTTATTATTATTGATACATAATCACATACCTTTATTGGGCAGCTTTCTTGTATCCATAATAAATCTTCTTCTTAAAATAATTAACATAAGACATAGTAACAGTACTAAAACAATCATAGCTACAATCAAGCCAACAATAGCTGGCCAATGATAATTAGTTATGTTTCTTTGATTACTTGTCATACCAGAAGACGAAACACTGAACCCAGCTCGTTGATATATTGGCCTTGAATTTTTGTGATCTGTCCATGCATTTGTACTGCTACTTATACGTCTATTAAAATCTAAATTACGTCGAATATCTGTAACACTCATAAAATTATTATTATTAGTATTTTGGTTATTCTCACTATCTAATTCATTTGTCATAGTCACTGGATAAATATGTAATGTCAGTTGAGCTGTAGATGATTTTGATGGTTGACCACCGTCAGTTGCTTGAATTAATAATTTTACATCAACTGGTTGGCTGCAATCAAATATAGGATGAATTAAAAACAATTGACCACTATAACTATCAATATCAAAATGTTCTTCTGTAGGTCCACCTAATAGTATTTGAGATAATGGAGCCCATTTGACATGTCTTGTATTAGAAATATTTTTAGTCTCCACAGTTTTATTTACGCCATCCTGAACAGTCGTAGTTTCTTTTAGGTCCGGTGAGTCTGTATGATTTGACTGAGAATTTTTATCTTTGGATACTTTGATTTTTGATTTCTCCTGAACATCTGTTAGTAAATCACCATCACCACTACGTTTAACTTTTTGCAATTGCGGTCTACTGTTTTGACGAATAATACTGTATTCAATATCTCCATTACGTCCTGTATCTGAATCATTTGCATGTACGTGAGCTATAATTTGACTTCCTAATTGTGCACATGATATATTCAGTAGACTTCCAGTACCATGAGGTGTAGGATAACGAAATTCTGGTGCATGATCATTTACATCTGATATACTAATATGTATAACTGTATTTGCACGTCTTGATGGGTTACCAGAATCTTCAGCATATGCTGTTAATTCATAAGTGTCTTTTTGTTCACGATCTAATAAACTTACGAATTTTCCAAATAATTCATTTGAATGATGCTTGCCAATATCGATTACATTTTTTCGTACAGTTAATTTGCCTGTATTTTTATCCAAATCAAATTCTCTACTTGGTTGACGAAGAAAATATTGAACCTAGTAGAAAACGGGAAAGCGTTAAGTTAGATTTGTGCAGAAGCATATATATTTAATATTTATATGGAATATAAATGAAACTAGTCTTAGTACTTTAGTGGTATTACGAAAAAATGCATCAAGTGTGAATTTTTCAACAGACAGGATGCCTTTTACATTAATCTTATCGAATTTAGGGAGAATTAAACTGTAGATTATATATCACTCATTGTTATTTTGCTAATAGAAGAGAAAATGAACCACTTAAAATTCGTTCAAGGACAGATCATACTGAAAAGATGAACTGAGAATTCCCACGTATCTATCTATAGTTTCCATTGTTTTCCTTTCAAAAATAATTAAAAGGGAACAGTTCAAGGCTTATCCAATTTGAACTGCTAGTCTATTTATTAAAACTATATCCTTTAATTCTGTTCAGATTGAAAACAAGTTCTCATAACCTACTTGCAAACTTTGTAAGTAACATGTAACTGCCCACATAAAATATGAACCTAGTTAACTGAAATCTTAACGGGACTATAATTTATAGACGAACCAATGAGGCATAAAATAAGACGTCTTGGATTTTGGGCGCAAAATTCATTCACCCATTTGGCAATGTACCGTTTCGGCATTATAGCCAATGTCAGTTTGTGATGAGAACCTTAAATCTAATTCCTAACCTTAACCGTCAACTGTAAATCATAATTCTTATTCTTCGCATTGGCTTATAATCTTCATTTGATGTCATATCATTTTCAGACCAATTCCGTCTTCTCATTTTTCTATCGAAATTTATGAAAGGGACTGATTTCTTGAAATAAATGAATCACCTGTAATAATTTATTTACTATCATAAAAATCAAATTCAACCAAATGTATTACCTGACAACAGTCTCAGATTCTTATGAATGGATAAGAATTAAAAAAAAAGGTTTATTTTGTTTCAATATTGATTTTGAACAGGATCAATCTTAAATTTTTAAGAAAAATTTTCATTTTTTGTTTTATAGATTTATCTAACACTTAAATTATTTATTCATTTATTTATTTGAACACATAGATATTGGTACAAGGGGGCACCAGATACATATGCGCCACACAAATCTCACTTGATTTTTATGTGTGTTGTGATACTGCCTGGGTGCCCAAACCGAAGCAGGTGGTTTTCTTAGGGAGCCAAGTATGGAGCCTTCAACATAAAGGTTTGATCCACAAGGCAGTAGAGCATCGTAAGTAGATGCAGTCCCATGGTAACAGGTGACCAACGAATTTGTTCATATGCCATTTGTTCCCTCAGGATACTGCAGCCCATGTGCATCATTGGTTTTAAATCAGGGTTTGGCAATTCCCCTAGGTGGACTCTCCTTGTCCATCGCCCCGGTTTAAGCACCGGATATTCGCTTTTTTTCCTCTCAATTTCGTAAACAGCACCCCTGACACAAGAAAGTATTGAGTAGGACTTCTCTAGCAGAGGCTATATACGCGTGATTATGTGAGAGCATTTTGAGAAGGAAAGCGAACTCTCTTCCCTCTCGGCCGTACCAGGGCATTTGGAGACAACACTTATTATGATTTAATTTTAAAATAATTTTCTTACTTTTTCCTACAATAACAAAATAATCATTCTTTTCTCTATATATGATTTCATCATTTAACTTAATCATTGAATGATAGTCACTTGTTTTATTTGTTTTTTTTTCATCTTACATTTCTTACATAAGACTATCAAATACACATAAAATTACATAAATCTTAAGGAAATATATATATATATACATAAATTAGAAATGATATTTTATTCTTAATTCATTAAATTAAAATACCATAACCTTTTCATATAACAATTAAACTAAACTATTCAAAGGTATATTATACATTAACTTGGATGTTGGATTTGATAAATCATAATGATCCAATATAAGAAAGTTTGTTTTGATGTATCTTTTCTTTAAAATTTATTTATTTATTTCATATTGAAATTAACTAATCATAAATTCTATAAGTTTAATGATAATAGTTCAATAGATTTTGTCTTTTAAATTATATTTTAGTTAAAATATAGAAAATAAAACTCCGCTTGTAGCTCTTCCAAAGTTACTGACGGTCTCAAGTCCAGGTAAAGGAGAAGGGTTGGGCATTGGGTTAGCAATCTTATCTCGTAGAAAACTAATTCGCTTTTTAAAAAAAACGCTAATCAGAAACCATAGAAAATAAGTAGTATTTTCTGCTTTAATTTCAAATCTATACAAGTAAGCTAAAATGTTAATGAAAACAGTTAATTGTACTGTACATAGATGATAAAATTTAAATTTAAATGAAACATTTTAGTACAGTTGATTATTTATTAGTTTAATAATTGAGTTCATGAATTAATTGAAACTGGATCACCATAGAATACCTGAAAGTACTGGATGGCTGTGTCGTCCTAGTGTTGGACTTCCCCTCCTCCATACAATTCCTTTCTGATATTTATTTATTCTTTTTCTAAAAAGACAGTGTTATTTTTATTTTTCCAATAGAAGATACTAGAATATGATTATTTATTCTTAATTAGATGTTTATTTTAGAAGATTTATATAGTTTTGTAGATACCATTAGTCAGGAAACTATTGTTAACCAGAAAGTATTATTGCAGTTGTTATGTTCAACTTTTTCAACAGTTCATCAGTTCATGAGAAAAAAATTATCTTTAAGATCTAGTTCACTTTTGCATTGGTCGTTTGGATCTTTTGATTGATGTTTAGGACTTCAATTGATCAGTCTCTTATTGGTATACATGCATCAAGTGAGAAATGTTTCGTTATTGCTTTCAGTCACAAGCAATATAAGCTGAGATAATGTGGGTGTCTTGTCCTATTTAAGATCATATTTATGTCTTTGTAAATACTTGAGCAAATTTACTGTTAAATACTTGTTGGTAATTTTTTGGGACTTTTTTTCTTTCTGGAACTTTAACAGGAAAATAAAACCGATAAATTCATACTAGTTGATGGTAAGGCAGTAATTTAATAGTGACTTTGATTGTGAACTGTGCTAAATCAAAAACTGACAACAATTATTAATATAAGTTGTTGTATTATACCTCACTGTTGAATATGAGAAATCCATAAGATTATTTTCATTGATGCTAGGAAGACCTTAAGTTGTTTATTTTCTGTGAATATCTGTCTATTTCTTTCCTGTTGCGATAACCACGAGTAAGCTTTTTCCAATTCATAAACTTGTATAACCTTTGGTGCTTTCTAAACGGCTGTTACCACTTTGTTAATTTTCTCGTATTTCGAGATCATGTTTTGTTACAATATTTAATGAGTTATTTTACGTTTTTCCCTTTTTCGTTGAATATAAAGCTTCTTCTTTCTGAATTCCATAATTCCGGAAAAATTATCGAAGCGTTTTGTGTACCAGTGACCGTACTATCGAGTTTGATTATGACCTGATCAAATTAAAAAAATCTTATCCGTTCTCACTTAAACAATTGCTGTAGGCTCGACTGAACAAGTTACAAGATTCAACAGTTGAATATTCAGTAGGTATTAATCAACCTAAAATAATTATTCCCAAAATTACTACATTTATTTTAGCTTATAATAATGTTAAAGAGGAAGAATGTATTTGTAAAATCTCAGAGAATGAATTTAAAGTAAATTTAACGTTTCGCCTGGCAATCTGGTCCAAGCTTTTTCAAGGATTTACTTCAAATTCATTCACTGAGATTTTACAAATACATTCTTCCACTTTAATATCTCACATGAACTAGGCTCCTAAATACTGTGAAACTATTCGATAAAATTTAGACGAAATTGTTTATAATAAGGTTGTTTAGATATAATTTAGCATTAGAAAAATTTAACACTATGAAATGGTTTTTCTCGTTGTATATGGACATGATATACATAATTATTTGAGACTAAAAATACATATACACCTACATTGTTATAACTGTACTTCATATGAAAGTACAAATGTATTTGATAATGCCAAAAATGATAACCAAAGTTTAATTGTTTTTTTAATTAATTCAATAAATGTATTCAGTTTTTCTTTTTAAGCATAATGAAAATAACTAGAAATTCATACATTCTAAGAGGAAAACGAATAAAAATTAAACCAGTGGGAAAGGTGTAACATTTTGTTGGATACATATTAATGTCACAGGTTGAAATCATGAGTCGAGTGAAGCTAGACCACCATGGAAAACCTGGAAGCACTGGACGGCCGTTTCGTCCTAGTACGGGACTCCTCAGCAGTGATTTTAGTTACTATCCATCACTCTATTTCTATACAGAACTCATAAAAAGGTATTCACTAAGTATGTAAGTGATCAAGATTCATTTGTAATCACCATTATATTTTACCACTTAACAGCTACCCAAAGTAACCTGTGCTTTTGTTATGATTATAGATGTTTATTTAAACTGCAGATATTATTTAACATATAATCTTCAGCGAAGTTAGTTTTAAAATGATGCTAGACACTAGTTATAATAGTCTCTAGTTGTGATAGTGTGTTGAATACTTTAAAATCTTATTTCTAGTCCTAGACCCATGCATATTTATATGTATGTAAAATTCTTATCACGATCATGTTCAAAATTCTCAAACTCAATGGTGTGTTTATTTTAATTTTTGAACTAGTCGGTCAGATCTCAAAGTGGTCAATATTTAAAATTCTAACCAATTTAACTTTGAATTCAATAGAACTCATATATTTTGGAACACTCAAAGGGAAACGTAAGGATATGTTGGTTTTGTGTTCTGTGAGCTACGTGGTTTATTTTTAAAGCTTATGTTACGCTTATAGAAGACATTTTGATCATGTCCAAAAGGATAATTAAAATTCAACAGTTGAATTTTCTAACTCACACAACACAAATCCTCAAATATCCTTATCCTGAGTTATAAATATTGGCCGTCATCTCACGAGATTACTTCAAAAACCATTAGTTCATATTGGTAACTTCAATTAATTTTTGATAAGGCTTTATGTCAGTAACGTCCACCTAACTTTTAAGATG